TTTGCTTACATGTTCATTGTTCTTCCTTTTGTTTCTTTCTTTCTAACGGAAATGAGCAAGAGAAGAGAAAAATTAGAACCAGAAGAAAGATGAAAACGAGCACCGTCTTCTCTTTGCCTGATTTTTGCGCCTCCCTCGCCTGTCTTCATTTCTCTTCCATTCTTGTCATTGCTTATCCCAGTAGAGTTGCGTTCCTTTTGATCTCTCCTCTCTCCTTTCTCTCTCTCTCTCTCTCTCTCTCTCTCTCTCTCTCTCCCTTCTCTTCTCTTGTTCTCCTGTAAATCTCAAAAACACACAAAAGGAAGCTTCTTTTGCCTTTTTGAAAGAAAAAAGAAAAAAAAGAGATGGGGAAACAAATTGAAGAGCTCCACTGCCTATTGTTTCATTCCCTTTCCTCTCGTTCTATGTGTTGTTTCCTTGTCGTTTCAGAGAGCAAGCAAAATGAGGGCAAGGGCTTCCTGAAGAGGAGAGAGGGCACCTATCTGCGAAGAGCAAGAATAGTCTTGTCTTGTTTAATTATAGAGGGAAAGGGAGAGACAAGGAAGGGAGAGATTATAGATAAAGAAGAGTGCCATCTCCTGTGCGCCTTGTTGTGTTCCTCCGTCTCCTTGTTTCTTGTCTCCTCTCTTCTGTTCAGTACCCTTCCAGAAAAATAAAATGGCCTCCTTGCTGTCTCTCCTCTCTCACTTCCCTTTCCCTTCTCTCCTTCTGTTTCCTTTTAACTGATAAAACACAATAAAGGAACTTGCATGATAAAACCTTGCCGTACTTCATCATATCCCTCTTCTCGGCCTATCTCTTCTGCTCTGAGGAAAGATAAAGAAGAGTGCCATCTTCTCAGCGCATTGTTTTGTCTCTCCATCTTCTCTATTCATCTCTCTTCTATTCTTTTCTTTGCTATTCCATTGAAATTGGATTCCTGTTATCTCTCCTCTCTCCTTCTCTCTCCCTCCTCTTCTCCTGTTCCTCTCTAAATGACAAAAACACAAGAAAGGAAGAACAAGAGGGGAATGGAAGCCCTTTTCCTGTCTTCTCCTGTTGCAATAAGAAGGAAAAGAGCATAGGAGATAAGGAAGGGAATTGAAGAATTCTGTGGCTCATACTACAATAACAAAACAAAACGCATTGAACAGCAGCACAAGGCTATGGAAAACACCATATTTTCAGAGAGAGAAAAAAGGAATTGAAGTTGAGCAACTTAGTTTCGACTAGAGTTTGTGGTTCTGCAACAACAAAACAAAATGCATTGAGAAATAACGCAAGGTCTACGGAAAGAACAACTTATTCAACAAAGACAGCAAACATAAAGAAGCAACCGAAACGAATGTTGTGCAATTTAGTTTCAGGTAGCTTCTGTGGGTTTTGTAAAAACAATACGGTATAGAAAAGCGCGTCGGTTAGACCCTTTCTCTTCAAAAACTTTCGGCTAAACCCTACACACCAAATTCGTCAAATTCTGTGGTTAGACTCGGTTAGACTCTTTCTTTGTAGAAACCTTCCGTCCATTACCCTAGGCCCGAAATCTCGTCAATTCTGTGGTTACTCCCTTTCCCGCAAAAAAACAAGGGTTAACCTGTTGAAGTTTTAGATAAGAAATAGTTATAATGGCTTCCAAAGGTTTAAATGCTTCTGCTTTTGTGGCAGAAGGAGCCAGCAGCAGAACGTGTCTGGCCAAAGAGATTAGGGTTTAAATAGTCCAATGTATATAAACAAAAGACCTATGTCAAATCATACGTAAAGGTTCCTGCCTCATATATATATATATATAGCTGCGTTGTCTACACTAAATACCCGTTCAAGATCCTAGACCTGTGGCCCCCCTAAACCCAAAGCCTAATCAAACCCCAATCCACCGCATACCTACAGTGGGACCTACAGGCTGTCTGGGGGCCAGGGGCGGAGGTGGTTTTTTTTGAGGCCGGGCGGGGGGGGGGAGGGGGGACTTGGCACCTCGAAGCACCTCGCCGCGCCAAAGCCCCCGGTTTGAATAGTTTTGGGGTTGGGATGTTTGAGGGTTCTGGGGTCAAGGGTTCGACCCAGTGTTCTATGGGTGCCGGTAGTTGGGAGACAGTCCAAGCCGCTGATGCTCATGATGTGGTTCGGCTCATGCAGCAGTCTCACGTTCTCTCCCTCGCGGGTTGGGCCGTTGAAGGCTGTAAGTGCATAAGTTGAGAAGCTCTTTGGTTCCCAGGAAAAAGCGCCGCTGATGCTCACGATGTCGGCGCGCACGGGGTGCTTGCTGCGCACGCACGTGTGCGCGTGTGCGCCAACATCATGAGCATCAGCGGTTCGGGCTCGAGGGCCCGTGTGGCGTGTGCACCAGCATCACGTTCTCGCTCTTCTTTCTTCTGTTCTCTCTTCTCTCCTTCTCTCCATCTCTCTGCGTCTCTCTTTGTCCTCTCTCTCTCTCTCTGTCCTCTCTCTCTCTCTCTCTCTCCTTCCTTTTTGATTTGTTTTCTCTCTCTCTCTCTCTCTCTCTCTCTCTCCTTCCTGTATCTCTCCTCCCGCTCTCTCTCTCTCTCTCTCTCTCTCTCTTTTTGTCTCTCTTTCTTTTAAAGTGGGTCGTGGGAGGGGCGCTGTGAGGGCGGTGAAGGTGGTTTGTGAAGGTAGTGGGTGTTGAGGGCACTGGGTGGGGCGGGTTCTTGAGGTGGAAGGGTAACAGGCCTCAAAGGCCTCTCAAAGTGCCAGCCCCCACTCACCCCCTCCTGGACCTCCAGGCTACCCCCAAGCCTCAAGCCCCAAGCCCCAAGTAAAGCCCCAAAGCCCCAAAGCCCCAAAGCCCCAAAGCCCCAAAGCCCCAAAGCCCCAAAGCCCCAAAGCCCCAAAGCCCCCAAGCCCCAAGCCCCAAGCCCCAAGCCCCAAGCTCCAAGATCAAGCCCCAAGCCCCAAGCCCCAAGCCCCAAGAAAGACCGAGCCCAAGCCCCAAGCCCCAATCCCCAGCCCAATCCCCAAGTCCCCAATCCCCAATCCCCAATCCCCAATCCCCAAGCCCCAAGCCCCAAGCCCCAAGCCCCAAGCCCCAAGCCCCAAGCCCCAAGCCCCAAGCCCCAAGCCCCAAGCCCCAAGCCCAACAGGCCCAAGCAGCCAAGCAGCGGCTTGGGGGCTGGGGCTTGGGGCTTGGGGGCTTGAGGGCTTGGAGCTTGGGGCTTGGGGCTTGGAGCCTGCTTGGGCAGCTTGGGGCTGCTTGGGGCTGCTTGGGGCTGCTTGGGGCTGCTTGGAGCCTGCTTGGGCAGCTTGGGGCTGCTTGGGGCTGCTTGGGGCTGCTTGGGGCTGCTTGGGGCTGCTTGGGGCTTGGAGCCTGCTTGGGCAGCTTGGGGCTGCTTGGGGCTGCTTGGGGCTGCTTGGGGCTGCTTGGAGCCTGCTTGGGCAGCTTGGGGCTGCTTGGGGCTGCTTGGGGCTGCTTGGGGCTGCTTGGGGCTGCTTGGGGCTGCTTGGGGCTGCTTGGGGCTGCTTGGGGCTGCTTGGGGCTGCTTGGGGCTGCTTGGGGCTGCTTGGCTGCTTGGGACTGCTTGGGGCTGGGCTGCTTGGGGCTGCAGCCCCAAGCAGCCTCAAGCCCCAAGCCCCAAGCCCCAAGCCCCCCCAAAACCCCACCCCAAACCCCAAACCCCAACCCTGATAATTTCGTTGGGGGGGGCGTGCCCAGGTAGATCCTAGTCCCTAAGCCTGTCTTGCAGGAAGATCATGGACGAGCAAGAGCTCTTGGCCCAGTTACGGACAGTTTTCGGTTTAGGGTTGGGGTTTAGGGTTTGGGGTTTAGGGAAGTTCGAGTAGAGTTCAGGGTTTAGTGGCTTGGGCTTGCCGAGCGCCGGAGCTTTGACTGCCGTCTTCCTAGGGTTCGAAACCCTCAACCCTACAGGCGACAGCCTTAAACCTCCAACCCCAAACCCAAAATTCTAAACCCCACCAAACCCTTTAAAGGCCCAGTTTGGGTTTAAAACGCCTTATCTACCCGAAGAGTCCAATTCCCCCTGAATTAGGGAATATTAACCTCAAATTGTATACGGACCCTCAACATGACTTGGGCATATTTGCTTATCTAAACCCTGAGCCCTGAACCCTAAACCCTAAACCCTAAACCCTAAACCCTATACTCTAAACCCTAAACCCTTAACAGCAAGGGGTATCGGGCTCTTGTGGGTACGAACATGTCATGGGTCCCGGCCGCACAGCTTCAAAGGATCCCGAGAGCCCTGAAGATTGGGTTGGTAGTTTTGAGATTTGAGGGTTTAGGGTTTAGGGTTTAGGGTTTAGGGTTTAGGGTTTAGGGTTTAGGCTTTGGGGTTCAGGGGTCCAGGACTCAGGGCTTAGTAGGCCCTAGTTCAGGGCTGACCGGCTCATCGGCTTCCGGGCTTAAGAGTTGAAGGCTGGAGGCTCTTTGCGGCCCATGGGATTTTGAGTCCTTGTGGGGTTCCTATGAGAATACGGAGCCTCATATCCAGGGACCATCGTTTTTGAAGCCTAAACCCTAAACCCTAAACCCTAAACCCTGAACCCTGAACCCTGAACCCTGAACCCTGAACCCTGAACCCTGAACCCTGAACCCTGAACCCTGAACCCTGAACCCTGAACCCTGAACCCTGAACCCTGAACCCTGAACCCTACGCCCTGAACCCTGAACCCTGAGCCTTAACCCTAAACCGGCGCCTTGCTCAGGCTTGAGATGAGCCAGAAGATCGATCGTGTGCCCTTTCAAAGCCTCTGGCACCTCCGAGAACCCCGCGTGAAGATCCCTCTGCCTCAAACCTTAAACCCTAGCTTCCTAAACCTCAAACCCCCCAAACTCTAAGCCCTAAGCCCTAAGCCCGACGCACAACTGAGAGCTAGAACAGAGGTGCCCTGCACGCTGAGCCTTGAGCCCTGACAAAAACTTCGATCCAAAAAACCAACATTCTGTCCTGACTGAGGGAGGGAAATTACCGCGTCTGTCTTCTTGCGGATGGTTTGTGTTTGTTCTGTGTTTGGTTCTGGTCCGGCGGTTTGCTACCGGTGGCTGAGACGCGATGATTCACGCTGCATGTAGCTTTACATTCCCGAAGAGAACAGTGCTTCGGAAGGTACCCTAAACCCTAAACCCGAAAACCACGGCGGCAGGTACAGCAGTATGTGAAGGAGCGGCAGGCGACGGCCCTCATGGCTGAGAAGAAGCAGCAGGTGTGTCGGGCACACTTTTTCGGTGCTCCGCATGATGGTTTTTGGAGCTTACAGGGTTTGCCTTTTTTTTTGGAGCTTACGTAGGGCTTTGTAGCGTTTTTTAGTGTATATATAGGAGCCTGCGTCCCGAAGTCCCCCATTGCGCCAAGGCCTCCACCCTCACGTGCCCAGAGAGCCCGAGACCCTTTAATTAAGGAGTAGACGCCCCCCCGAACCAGCCCTGCGGCTGAGGTTGCCAAACCCCAAACCCCAAACCCCAAACCCCAAACCCCAAACCCCAAACCCCAAACCCCAAACCCCAAACCCCAAACCCCCAACCCCAAACCCCAAACCCCACCCCAAACCCCAAACCCCAAACCCCAAACCCCAAACCCCAAACCCCAAACCCCAAACCCCAAACCCCAAACCCCAAACCCCAAACCCCAAACCCCAAACCCCAAACCCCAAACCCCCCCAACCCCAACCCCCAAACCCCAAACCCAAACCCCAAACCCCAAACCCCAAACCCCAAACCCCAAACCCGAAACCCCAAACCCTAAACCCTAAACCCCAAACCCCAAACCCCAAACCCTAAACCCTAAACCCTAAACCCCAAACCCTGAACTCCGACACCTGTAGGACGCGGAGAAGATGGCCGAGAGGTGGCAAATCGAAGTCCGCCGCTGCCAGGCGCCGGGAGAAGTTTAAAGTTCAGCCCCCGAGGCTACTTGGGGGCTTGGGGGTTTAGGGTTTAGGGTTTGGGGTTTGGGGTTTAGGGTTTAGGGCTTAGGGTTTAGGGTTTTTTTTTTCGAAATTAGGGGAACCTTGTTGGGGTCCTGAGTATCCGGGATCCCACTCTTTGGGGGGCTATTTTCGGGAGTCCCCTAATTTTCGTAAGCCCCCTCTTCAAGCCCTCATTCGCTTGTCGCCTCCTCATCTAGCGCACCTGCTCTGGAGCAGTCAGCCAAGGAATGAGCCCAAGGCCCCTGAGATCCTGTAGATATTCCGGCGCATACCCTAAACGCTAGACCCCAAACCCTAAACCCTAAACCCTAAACCCTATGCACCCTAAACCCTAAACCCTAAACCCTAAACCCTAAACCCTAAACCCTAAACCCTAAACCCTAAACCCTAAACCCTAAACCCCAAACCCTAAACCCTACACCCTAAACCCTAAACCCTAAACCCCAAACCCTAAACCCTAAACCCTAAACCCCAAACCCAAAACCCTGAACCCTGAAACCTTTAGGGGTTTTATGTGGGCCCCTTGGGCCTCTAGCACCTCGAGAGGCCGAAAAGGACCGCCTGGCGGCCGCCGTGCTGGACATGGAAGGCTTTCGGGGCCTGGGCCTAGGATTTAGGGTTTAGGGTTTAGGGTTTAGGGTTTAGGAGTTTAGGAGTTTAGGAGTTTAGGAGTTTAGGGTTTCGGGGGGCCCTCTTTGAAGAGCTCTTATCTCTTTGAGGGCATTTTGGGGTTTAAGGGTTCAGGGTTTGTTTTTTCTTTTGAGTTTTGAGGAACAAACCTTCAGGTTTACCTTGAATTGAAGAGTTGTTTGTTTTTTGAGCGGGAATGTTTGGAGTTAAGGGCCACTGAGCCCTCAACACTCTCACAAACCCGGCTGAACCCTCAACCCTAAACCCTCAACCCTTAACCCTCAACCCTAAACCGGCAGCTTGAGGGTTTAGGAAGTTGAGTTTAGGGTTTAGGGTTTAGGGCTTAGGTCTTAGGGCTTAGGGTTTAGGGGGCGCTTCTCTCCGTTGTTTGGGACCAAGACCCCCCTACTACCCCCCCCCCTCTCTACTACCCCCCCCCCCAGGGTTTCCCCTCATTATTTATGGATATTCCAGCCTACTTAAGGTTTTTTCAGGGGGGGAACCTGGCGGGGGTAGCCGAAACCCTAAACCCTAAACCCTAAGCCCGAAGCCTTAAACCCTGTATGGAAGGGGGGCAGTAGGGGAAACCCCGTGACTACACCTCGCCAGGCCGCCAGAGTGGGCAGGCACAGCAGATGCAGGGGGCCGTGGACCAGCACCGCCGCCAGGTCGGCGACCCGAAAGAGATTTTTCATGTTTTTAGGGTTTAGGGTTTAGGGTTTAGGATTAGGGTTTAGGGTTTAGGGTTTAGGGTTTAGGGTTTAGGGTTTAGGGCGTTTTTTTTTACGGCTGCCAAGCGCAAGTCAGAGCTTTGGTATGTCGCTTAAACAAATTGGGAGAGCGCGTAGGCGCAGACGCAAGGTACTCCAGAAATCTTGGTTGGGTTTGAAGGATTTGCTTTAAGCCTAGAAAGTCTCTTCTATGATCAGGTGTAGCCGTAACATCCAAATACTGTCTCAGAACCGGTAGAGCGTATTCTACGTTTTGTTCTAGGTTTAGGGCGTTTAGGGTTTTGGGTTTTAAGGCGTAGGGATTTGGCATGTCCCCTTATACGAAGAGCCCTTATAGGGATTATGGTGCCCTTGTTATAATCCCTAGTAGGCACTGTTAGTATAAGGCGGAACATCCCAAGCTTGGTGTTTAGGGTTTTAACATAGAGGGCGCTGCGTATATGAACCTGAAGGTAGCCATCAAGGACTTGTTTGCAAGGTTGAGACTGGCTCAAAGGTCACATGCCTCTTGAGGCAGATGAACAGCCGTGAGTATCAAATCTACGTTCGCCCCATCGGCTTTCACTTTGCCCAGAACACGTTTCAGGTTACCATCTTCAAAGCGATGACGAATGCCCGACTTCGTACAAGGATTGGTGAGGAGATTTGACAGCGAAAGCCAAACCGCCGTTACGAGATGATGTCGGAGGGCAACAAGAATGTGTTCCAACAGACTCTGTCGTCATTCTTGTCACACAACTTATACCTCCATGTGGGTGTTTAGTTTAGGGGCCTTTCGAGTGGATAGTTCATATTCTGGTTAGGGTTTGGGGTTTAGGGTTTCGGGGTTAGGCTTCAGGGTTTACCGGGTTGTGAGGTTGAGGTGTTAAGTATTTGCGCCACTTTCGGGCTTTTACATTTCGAAAGGTTCTGGGTTCTGAGGTGATCAGGGTATCTGTTTGTTTGGGTTTCGGGGTTCGGGGGTTTTGGTGTTTGGGCTTAAGCCGTCTTGGGTTTAAGGCTTTTCTTGCGAAATGATTCAGGGTCTCCTTTTTTGCTTCCTTTCACAAACGGCTTCCATTCAGCAAGTTACCTGCGAGGGGTTTGGGGTTTAGGGGTTGAGGCTTGTGGCTTTAGGTGGCATGACGCTCTCTCTCTCTCTCTCTCGCTTTCTCTCTCCCTCTCTCTAGCTCTCTCTCTCTCTCTCTCCTTTTTTTAATCCTTCTTTCCTAACCTCTAAACCCGAACCCCTAACCCCTAAACCCGAAACCCTAAATCCTGGGGGAGTTTGCACCCTAAACCCTAAACCCTAAACCCTAAACCCTAAACCCGAAACCCTAAACCCTAAACCCCGAAGATCAAAATTCGAGGTCTCCGCCCTGGAGGATGCGCTCCGAAGGACACCTCTTCGGGATGAGGGGACCCGAGCACCCTCAACCCTGGACCTTAAACCCCACGGTTTAGGGTTTAGGGTTTAAGGTTTAGGGATAGCCGTACTTTGTAACTGTACTTATAACCATGCCAGGGCACTTAAGGGGCCTCCAAGTGGGTTATGAGTACAGTTCGAATTGGTTAATGAGTACCATGAACCTCCAAGTACGCCCTAAACCCAGAACCTTGGACCTCTCACCCCGGAAACGCCCTCTAGCATTCAGGGTTTAGGGTTGAGGGCTTGCAAACCTGAGACTTCAGAGGGGGTCCAAGTGCAAGGGTCTCTGCCCATTGCCAGCCACTTTCAGGACTTGGTTTTGGGATTGGGTGCGAGAGCCTTCAGGATTTGGGTGATCTGAGGTTTAGGCCACGGGATTCCTTTAGGCATTGGCGTCCAAGCGTAGTAGTCTGAGATGAAAAAAACAAAGCCCTTAGACTCTGGACCCCAGACCCTAACCCCCCCAGAACTTAAGCCCTAAACTTAACACCCCGAACCCCACACCCCACAACGCCCACACCCTCAACCCTGCCTCCTCAACCCCAGACCCTAATGAAGCCACCAGGAAGGAGGACCAGATGCGAGAACAGAACATGGAGCTGATGTCGAGAAGGGATGAGGACCCTAGAGCCCCGGAAAGCTACCCCAAAACTCGAGGACTCAACCCCAGAGGCTCAGAGGTTCAGGGTTGCAGGGTTTAGGGTTAGGGTTTAGGGTTTAGGGTTTAGGGTTTAGGCACGGGTTCTGGGCGCAAGTTTTGGGCACAAGTTTTGTTTTGCTTGCTTGTGCCACATCGCGCGGCCTTTTGGTGCTCCGGCCTGTTGCAACCTTACCCTAAACCCTAAACCCTAAACCCTAAACCCTAAACCCTAAACCCTAAACCCTAAACCCTAAACCCTAAACCCTGTTTCAAGGGCTTCCGGAGGCCTGGGGCCTTACTTGGAGGCGGATCTCCGTGCAGTGCCGACTTGTTTAGGCAAACAGCTTTGCAACTCCAGAATGATATGCTGTCAAGTACAGTGGCCCAGAGAGCCCAATACCCCTTAATTAAGGAATATGCCCTAAATTATATAAGGATCCATATTATGATTTAGGGTATACTCCTTAGTTAAGGGGTACTGGGCTCTTTGAGGGTTTTAGCGACCTCAATCTTTGGCCTCCAGGGACGTTTGGATGAGGTTTACTTGAGCTCGGCCGGGTTTGTGAGTTGCTGTCGGCAAACAGCTTTGTACATTCAGCATCGTCTCACATGCAATTTGAGTTTGTCTTGAGGGCCCTTAAACACGCCAGCCGGTCATACCCTAAACCCTAAACCTTAAACCCTAGACCCTAAACCCTAAACCCTAAACCCGAAACCCTAAACCCGAAACCGCTCTGCATCTCGAGGAGTACCAAGCGAAGGCTGCTTGCCTGAATGGGTGCAGGTTTTGGATTTAGGGTTAGGGCTTTAGGGTGTAGGGCCTGGTGCTTAGGCTAGGGTTTAGGAACTTGGCTGAGTGACGTTTAGGGCAGTTGTCCGATGCAGGAATCTGAGCCGTGAAGCCCCGCAACGTATCCATAACCTGTGAACCCAAATGCCTAAAGTCCTGCGCCCCGAAGCTGTTAGAGTTGTAGTAGGGTTTAGGGTTTACGGTGTTTGCTTACTTTATCGACCCTGAACACAACCCTCTTGCATCCAGCTCCCCGAGTCCACGGCCCTCGACCCTAAACCCTAAACCCTAAACCCTAAACCCTAAACCCTAAACCCCAAACCCTAAACCTGAAATTCCTCCTCCGGAATCCCGGGGTTCAGGTTGGGATGCTCCCCGTTATACTAACAGTCCCCAACAAGGATGATAGTACCCCCGATTGTCATCCCTATTGGGGGGAACACCCCAAGGTTTGAGGTTTAAGGCTAAGGGCTTTTCAGGTTGTCAGTAAAGGCCACAGGCCTTCTGTGCCTTCTGTTGCCCTGGAAAAACTCCTCAGCTAAGAGCAACGTCGCTAGGCCCCAAAAACCCTGAACCTGAAATCCCCTTCAGCACCCCTATGAAAGCCCTAAGCCCTCAGCCCTAAACCCGAACTCCTCACAACCCCTCAGCCCTAAACCCCAAACCCCAAATGAGAACTCACCAGAAAACTTAGGGATACTTGGAAATACCATATATATATATATATATATTTTTTTTTTTAATCTTTTTAAACTTTTGGGTACTTCATAATTCCTAAGAAACAGCAAAAATCATAAGTGTAGAACAGGGGCCCTTAGCAGGGGGTCTCGTTCTCGAAAGATTGCCGAGGTGGCCCTCGAGAAGCAGAGAGAGAAGGAGCGGTCCATCGCCCTGCTCAAGAAGAAGGAGCAGGAGGCCCGCCTACACCCCAAACCCTGAACCCTAAACCCTAAACCCCAGGCCCCAAACCGTGAACCCTGAACCCTGAACCCTAAACCCTAAACCCTAAACCCTAAACCTTAAACCCTAAACCCTACACCCTAAACCCTAAACCCTAAGCCCTAAACCCCGATTTTTGGGGTTAAGGGGGTTTCGGGTTTCAGCTCAAGGTCTTCCTCTTGAACCCCCTCCCGAAGACCCTTTTCCTCCCTTGAGGCCATTCCTGTGGGTGCGAAGCGGACTTTACGAAAATGTTGGGTGTGCTTTGTGGGGAAGAAGGGGCTCTACAGGGCCTGCTTCTTGGGGGGAAACCTGGTCGCAGGCTGGTCATCCTTGATATGTTCCTTTTCCCGGGCTCTTGAAGATGGAGTTAGAAAATGGACTTGGCAGTCCACTGATAAACTACTTAGAGGACTAGGGGGGGGGGCTATGCCCTAAACCCTAGGCCAAAAAGCCCCAAGAAGCCTCGAGCACCCAACACCCCCAAACACCTCTAATCTAAGGGTAGTTATATGGGCCCTGTAATATGGTTCTCTTACCTCCTTTAAAGGGTTCTGATGTATGGGCCCTTGGGTCGTATGGGGTATACAAGGCGTATGCAAGAGATCCCCCTTTAAGGGCCCATACTTCATCTCCTACTAGCCCCCTCTAAACTACCCCCCCCCCCCCCTACTAGGTTCCCCCCTTGATGAACCTTAACTAAGCCATTAAGCCTAATTCTCCCCTAAATAGCCTTAATTAAGCCATTAAGCCTAATTCTCCCCTAAATAGCCTTAACTAGGCCATTAAGCCTAATTCTCCCCTAAATAGCCTTAATTCTGGGGGAACCAGGGGGGGGGGGTGGCTTAGAGGGGAGAGGGATACTACCCGAAGAGCACCGTACGCCAGGTGCACATCAAAACCCTAAACCCTAAACCCTCAACCCTCAACCCTCAACCCTATAACCCTATAACCCTACAATCCTATCAACCCTAAACCCTAAACCCTAAACCCTAAACCCTAAACCCTAAACCCTAAACCCTAAACCCTGGACAGGTGCACATCAAGGAGCAGCAGCTGCGGGCGGCGAAGCAGCGGATCCAGGAGCTGCGAAGTCCTTGGCGCCTGGGTTCTGTTCGGGTTTAGGGTTTAGGGTTTAGGGTTTAGGGTTTAGGGTTTAGGGTTTCGGGTTTAGGGTTTAGGGTTTAGGGTTTAGGGTTTAGGATTAGGGTTCAGGGTTTAGGGTTTAGGGTTTTGGGTTTTGGGTTTAGGGTTTAGGGTTTAGGGTTAGGGATTAGCCCTGGACCCTAGACCCTCAGCCCTCCAATGGTCAAAGGTTCACCTTCAGCTGTTTTGCCGCCCTATGCAACATGGAATCTGCCATCATGCCAGTTAACATTCAGTTAGTAGGACCCGGAGTGGGCCCTCATTTCCTGTTTTTAGGGTTCGGGGTTCCCTTTATTATCCCCTCAAAACCAAGAGAGAAGTACCTGTTTTATTCCTAGGTTGCTCCTGGGTCTAGGTTACCCTGAGGCCTTTAATGAAGGAGCACTTGGTGTGCAGGTGTCCTGTCGATGCTTGAGACTCAACGCTTCGGTGCACAGATTGTGTCCCCTAAACCCTAAAACCTAAACCCTAAACCCTAAACCCTAATCCTACAGATCTGCAGGCAAGATTTCAGACCAAGTAGATCTATCAACCAAAACCCATGACCGCGACGCGCCGATATTGTCGGTGCATCGGGGTGCTGTTCCTTCTACGGCTGCTGTTCTTGAGGGGAGGCTTCACTATGACGCCTTGCGCGCGGCCACTTGCCGCACTTTCGGCAGCCACATGCGGCTTCTGTGCGCTAGGCTCCCAGGCCTAGACCCAAAAGTAAAACCCTTAAACCCCGCAGGACCTGGAGTCCGAGTTGCGCAGCACCACAACATCTGCAGGCGAGTGCCCATCTGAGAGTAGGTTTGGGGATTTGTGGGATGGTGGGGGGGAATGATTAGGGGGAGGATGTTAGTTGATTGGTTCTATTTCCCTCCCTAGACCAAACACACTGGTGACAGTGTCATTTCGGTGTGAGTACTTGCGGGATGCTGAGGGGCACAGTGTGCACCCCACTGGCAACGGAGTTGGGGAGCGTAATTGCCCAAGTTCCTAAGCCAGATCCAGGAAGTTTTTCTGTACTTGGCTCAAGCCATTTCATGGCACAAGGGCTATGACCGAGCGCGGCTAGATCCTTCGGATCTGTCATATTCTGTCTAATCCAGTGCTTTGCCATCAGCGAGCCGTACCCTAAACCGTAAACCCCACACCCCAAACCCCAAACCCTAAACCCTAGACCCTAAACCCTAAACCCTTAACCTTAAACCCGAAACCCTAAACCCTAAACACACGCAGAAGCCGTTTGCACGGTCAATAGAGTTCCCCTCTGAGAGCGAGAGGGTATGAATCCTCGAAGAGCCCTCTGTGCCCCTCAGAGATAGAATATACCTAAAATCATATCAAGGACCCCTACAAAAAACTGAAGGTACTTTTCCCTAAACCCTAAAACCTGAACCGAAAGCCCTAAATTCAGGGTCTATTCCTTGCTTCAGGGCGTACAGAGGGCTCTTTGGGTCAGAGTTCAAGTGAGGGAGGTCACACGTCAACGACAACTCTGATAGGACCCGCGCCTCGCGCGCTTGGACATTTGGGTTTAGGGTTTAGTTAAGCCCTGAACTTGAAAGGGCCCAAGAGGGGCCTTAACAATTAGAATAGGGTTTTTGGGGCTCATGTTAGTATCATCAAACAGGGACCAGAAGGGAACAGAGCAAGCAATTTGTCCGACCCCTAGATTAGAGGGGCCCCAAAGCCCAAATGAAACCCTAAACCCTAAACCCTAAACCCTAAACCCTAAACCCTAAACCCTAAACCCTAAACCCTAAACCCTAAACCCTAAACCCTAAACCCTAAACCCCCAACCCCCTAAACCCTAAACCCCCTAAACCCAAAACCCCCTAAACCCTAAACCCTAAACCCTAAACCCCCTAAACCCCCTAAACCCCCTAAACCCCCTAAACCCCCTAAACCCCCTAAACCCCCCTAAACCCCCTAAACCCCCTAAACCCCCTAAACCCTAAAGCCTAAAGCCTAAACCCTAAACCCTAAACCCTCATCTGCAAGGCTCCGAGAAGCAGCGGCCAACTTGCAACCGTCTGCGGCCGAGTCCTGTTGTGTCCGCTGGGACACGGCGGCTTCCAGGGTTTCCTACTAAGGGTTAGGGTTTAGGTTTAGGGTTTAGGGTTTAGGGTTTAGGGTTTCCTACCAATTGCTCAAGAGCCCCACTAAAGAAATAGAACTATTCTTCCTTATAAGGGCAATATGGGGATTATTGCTCTTTCTTCTTTTAGGGTTCTTAAGCAAATAGTAGTTGTGGTGGCAGTATAGGGATAAGTATGTGTTTTTTTTTGGAGGTTAAAGGGTTCAGCGGTCTCAGACAGGGTTCCAGGGATGCGGGTCGTCAGAGTGGACTCGCCAGAGAGCCTACAATGCCCCTTAGTTAAGGACTGGGCTTTGGAGTACTATACTCTAATACTTTTTTCGGTTTTGGGTCCCCATTATAGCTACTTATACCTAAAAAGTGTATATTTTTTCTGGGTCTATTCCAGAGGTCGGAGGAGCATACCTTGAATTTAAAAGGGATCCTTGCTGTGACTTAATTCCTGAGCTTAGCTTAGGGCTCAAGGAGGGTGTGGGCTCCCCACCATGAGCCACAGCACCCTAAACCCTAAACCCTAAACCCTAAACCCTAAACCCTAGCCCTAAACCCTAAACCCTAAACCTAAACCCGAAACCCTCAACCCTAAAAAGTCTCAACAGAATCGCCTCCCCCGACTTGGAAGCTCTTTTGACTTACTAAGTCCTACTTAGCATCCCCTAGAAACCTTGGTATAATCCCCATAACTTGGGATGTTCCCCTTTATACAAAAAACAGTCCTTGATCGGGATTTTGGTAGGGGCGCTCTAATCCCGATTAAGGGCTGCTAGTGCAAGGGGGAACATCCCAACCCATAACCCTCCTATCAGAGGTTTGCAGTTTGGGTGAAAATCGCCCTAAACGTAGGGCCGATCTAGTGTTATATATATATATATATGTGTACATATATATATATGTATATATATATGTATATTTTTCCTTTCAAATTGTTTTCCCTTATTGGGTTTCACAGGATAGTCTTCAGGAATCTTCTTTCAGACGCTGCAAGGGGCCGACCGTAGCCTTCAGAAACCGAGGTGGAGATGGCTCTGCGCTGCCGCCCTTGCCGCTGTCCGCTCGCTGAGGCGAGTACTCTGAAGAAGAGTCGGTTCCCCCTCTTATACTTACTAACAGTCCTTAGTAGGGGAGTATAGTAGGGGGTACTAGAATCCCTGTTAAGGACTGTTCGTGTCAGGGAGAACATCCCCAAATACACATGTCCTTTGGTGACTTCAACCAGCCCAACCCCCAAGGCTATCCCATGCGAAGGCCATAGGTGCGTAAGGATACTTCAACCGCAGGATTCTGGAGACGTCCGGGGGGGCTTGCTGGGACTCTGGCGGCCGATGCAACAGACACACTCGGCGGGACTCTCTGCAGGATTCATCGGGGGGGGGGGGTGGGCGCTCGAGGATGCTGGGCGCACTGGGGGTGTTCTCCGGCGGTGGGCACTCCAGGGATACTGGGGCGAGGAGAATGGTTGACTTAAAGTCTAGCGACCTCGCACGGGGGGGTGGGGAACTAAAAGCCCTAAACCCGAACTACTCCCCCAAATTTCGGAGCGAGACATCCTCCAACAATCTTCAACTTGGGGCTCAAGGGTACGTATGACACAAACTCTAGGTCAGTATAGTAGCAATGTCATATATACCCTTTTTCTACAGCTAGAAGGACACCCGGTATATACATTCACCAATATTAAAAGGGAACCGTTTTTATACACTCACCAAAAGCAGAAATATAAACCCTGCTTCATATACGCCCCCTAGTACCTTCAGTTCCCGCTTTCTTTTAGCCTTACATAAGGTAACCCCCCCCCTTGCAGTGCCCGGTGCACTTCATGGCCATAGGTATAGGTACGGTATGTATGTGTATGTATCTGTATGCTATGTATGTAATTGTTTGTATATGTAATTTCGTATGCATAGGTATGAATATGTGTATGCATGATATGTATGTACACATGTATCCAAGGCCTCAAAAGGCTTTGGGAAGGCAGTCTCCAACTGCGCAAAGCCCCCTTCCTAAACCCTAACCCTAAACCCAAAACCCCAAACCCGAAAAAATCTGGGCGTTACGCCCGAGGCTGCGCCAGACGTGCACAGCCACAGCGCTGACGCGCTGCATCCTGATCGCTTCGGGGTCTCGCCGTCCTCTTCTACAGGTTTAGGGCTTAGGGTGTAGGGTTTAGGGTTTAGGGTTTAGGGTTTAGGGCTTAGGGCTTAGGGCTTAGGGTTTCAGGATCACGTTGAAGCACCATTTCCTGGCCCAGTGCGCCCTAGGATTGGAGGCTCCCGTACCGGAGGTGCTGTAATCAGCGCAGCGCCCAGGAGTTTCACTCCGTCCTGGCATGTTGCCCTGTGCACTCAGCCTCGTGATCATGGGTAGTCATAACTGGGGGCTGTGGCTGTTAGGCTGGGGGGGGTGACTAGTCTTTCCCGAACTCCACAACCCTAGACCCCCAGGCCATGCTCTGCATCTGAAGATGCGAATTCCTTATGCTGTTGTTGTTCAGGGCTTACCCTAAACCCTAAGCCCTAAGCCCTAAGCCCTAAGCCCTAAGCCCTAAACCCCTGAACCCTAAACCCTAAACCCTAAACCCTAAACCCTAAACCCTAAACCCTAAACCCTAAACCCTAAACCCTAAACCCCTGAACCCTAAACCCTAAAGTACCTTGATAAGGCTCGGTGGTAGTGCGGTGCCAGGGCATGCTGGCTGTAACACGCAGCCCGGCAGTGCCACGGTCACAAAAAGGCTGCGTGCGCGCGAAGGTCTGACTTGGCGGACCCAAACAGCCCTTTGGGGTTTAGGGTTTAGGGTTTAGGGTTTAGGTTTAGGGTTTAGGGTTTAGGGTTTAGGGTTTAGGGTTCAGGCCCATAATTAAGGAGTAGGGGGGTTTACGATATTAGGGGTACCTTATTGGGGTACTTATTTTTCAGGAGATCCTACTTTTTGGGTGTCTACATTGGGGGTCCCTTCTTTTCGTAAATCCCCATATCCCTTAGTTGGTAGAGGGGCCCCTGACATGATTTTACTGTACATTCCTTCAGGTTTAGGGTTTAGGGTTTAGGGTTTAGGGTGTAGGGTTTCGGGTTTCGGGGCTTTGGGCTCTCTGGGGAGTGCACGAATGCGACTGCTGCCGAGACGGGGACGGGCCCTGGTTCCGTAGGGTTTTTGCACTCACAGCTCTGGACGCCCAAAACCAAGCCCTCTTGCTGAAGACATGGCGCGCTCCTCCCTGCTCTCCGTGGCCTTGGTGCTCTTCGCCGGCTGCGCGCTCTTGCAGCGCTGGGCCCCGGCCTTCTCGTCCCCGGGCCTGAGCCGGCGGGAGGCCCTCCAGGCGGGCGTGGCCACCGTGGCCGCCGGGGCCAGCCAGGCGGCCTGGGCGGATGCCCAGGGGGAGCCCGTGACCTGCCTGGCGCGGTATGGGCCCCAGGTCCTGGGGCTCAAGGACGCCGTGGAGAAGGGTGACATGGAGAAGATCCTGAAGAAGGAGCCGAAGTTCAAGGCGCTCAACAGCTACTGGCGCAACCAGCCCGGATACTTCGAGCAGAAGGTCGCGCTCTCTGAGAAGCTCATGGAGGCCGCGGACGCCGGCAAGAAGGACTGAGCCAACAGTTGACCTCTAAACTTTTTGGGTGTCCTTATCTAGTAGGAATCTTGAAGTCTAACCTTTTTTCCCTTGGTTATTGGAGAAGTAAGAGGACGAGGTGAAGAAGCTCTACGCCGAGTACGTCGCGGACCCTGTCTTCGAAGCCTTCAGGGTGCCAGTGAAGCGCTCCAAGGACACCGTCACCATCTACGCCTATGGCGCCGGCAAGTCCGTCTATGACAAGTGAGAGCGCCCCCCCAAAATGAGGGGGGTGACATGCCACAGGCGAAAGAAAGAGCGCGCGCTCGAGTTTTTTGGGCCGCCCCGTAGTCGGCAAAGGCTCGAGGTCCTGCGCCATTGTCCATTGCCCGGATGTTTCTGCACCCGCAGGCGCGGAAAAAGCCTCAGGGGGGCCTAACTTGGAAGCTCTTTTGACTTAGTAAGATTATTTAGTATCCCCTAGAGATCCTCTTGAACACTAAACCCTAAACCCTCAACCCTAAACCCTAAACCCTAAACCCTAAACCTAGATCCTAGAAAGCCCGAAATGGACTCCTAAGGCTTCAACCGTGTGTGGGTTGGGGGTGTAGCTTTGTAAATCCTGTCCTAAACCTAGAAGAGCCTGGTGGGGCCGCCTCTTAAGCCCCAACTTGCAGGTTGAGTTTGGGGTTTGGGGTTTAGGGTTTCGGGTTTAGGGTTTAGGGTTTCGGGTTTAGGGTTTAGGGTTTCGGGTTTAGGGTTTAGCGGTTAGAGCCCGAAAAGGGACCCGGCAAGACACCCCCAATGCAGACAACGGGCAACGGGGCGTTTCGGGCTCTGCGGCTGTGAGTTGCTGCTGTTGTAAACTGTTGCTGCGCCCCCAAGGAGCCCAATACCCCTCAAAAAAATGAATATTCCTTGAATCACAATAGGGATCCCTTTGGGCAGGGCTTAGAGGGTTTAGGGTTGCAGTTTGCATGGAGCGTACTCGGAGGTTCAGGGTACGGATAGCCCCAGTCATTACTGTACCCTCGAAGTCGGCGGGTTTAGGGTTTAGGGTTTAGGGGCTCGAAGCAGGCTTAGAATTGGGGGTTTCAAGTACATGAACCTCCAAGTAGACATCTTCCAAAAAAAGGGCATGGCTCGGTCGTCGCAGGGTTTTTGCCTGCAGCAGTCGTCTTGGAAGGCCTGGGGAGACATCACTGGAGTTGCGGGTTTCCAGCACCTGGGTTTAGGGTTTAGGGTTTAGGGTTTAGGGTTTAGGGTTTAGGGTCTGCGTGCTCAAGCTTCAGGGTGTTGGATGACCTTACGGGGTATTTAGGGGCTGAAGCAGTTCGACGCCGGCAGCTGCAGTCGCACCCACCATGGGCCGCGTCACAGCCATCTCGGAGGCAGGATCACAATTATGCGCTTCGTCGGGGTGTGTTTGTGCGCTACCGGTACCACTTCAACTACCACCCCTTGGGGGCGCAGGCGAACTTGTCAGGACTGACCCAACATTCCACGCGTGCCCTGTTGTTGTCCAATCTTCCCCAGCACAGTTGGAAGGGCATGGCAAGCTGTGCACATCCTTGAGCCCACTACTCAATCCCAAACCATCCTTGCATACAAAGACTCAAGAAGCCTCAAACCCCTAACCCTAAACCCTAAACCCTAACCCTAAACCCTAAGCCCTAAACCCTAAACCCTAAACCCTAAACCCTAAGCCCTAAACCCTAAACCCTAAATCCTCCCAAGCTCCGGAAGGCACGTGCTGGGAGGCGGCGTGGCCCAAAGCTGCCGCCGGTAGCCAAGGCAAGTGCAGACTCCGTTGCTACTAGTTGCATAAGATGCCTAAACCCTAAACCCTAAACCCTAAACCCTAAACCCTAAACCCTAAACCCTAAACCCTAAACCCTAAACCCTAAACCCTAAACCCTAAACCCTAAACCCTGAACCCTGAACCCTGAACCCTGAACCCTGAACCCTGAACCCTAAGCCCTAAACCCTAAACCCTAAACCACCAAAAATGCAAGATCATAACGCTTATATTATAGATATTATAGTACCCTTTTAAGGCAGGTTTTTTGGTTGTTGCTTGATTTATTCCCCACCTGTCAGGTCAGGGTTGTTAGATTTTATGTCAGCCCCATCTCCTCCTCCTCCTCCTCCTCCTGCTTCTCCTCCTGCTTCTCCTCTTTCTCTTCCCTAAACCCAAACCCTAAACCCTAAACCCTAAACTCCTCGTCGCCTCCTCTACTGCCACCGAAGAAGTGACCATCCGCGCCCAGTGTTCCCCGCCATGCCTGCCAGTTCGAGACCCTGCTTGGGATGCTCCCCCTTATACTAACAGCCCTCAGTAGGGAGTATCGTCCCCCCCCCCCCCCCCCTATTACAGTCCCTACTAATGGTACCCCCCCCCCCCTCCTATTACAGTCCCTATGAAGGACTGCTCGTGTGAAAGGAGAACATCCCAAAGGCCCTGGGGCATCCTGCGAGGGGCCTTTGGGCATCCTTGCCTTTCCTCGATATGTTGCGAGGCAAAAACCAGGATAAGCTAAGCCTGGACCCCAAACGCAAGTTTAGGTTCTAGGGTTTAGGGTTTAGGGTTTAGGGTTTAGGGTTTAGGGTTTAGGGTTTAGGGTTTAGCATTTAACCTTAACGCGACAATACCCTGAAGCATCCGAACCCTGAAGCTAAGGCCCCCAAACAAGATCGGCAGCAAACACGTGGGGATGTCAGTGGGATGTCGATCCCTCATGAGCAGGACGGACCACGTCGACCCTCAACCCCAAGCCCCAAGCCCGATGTCATCAGGGTTTTGGGTTTAAACCCGAAACCCTAAACTCCTTAACCTTAAACCTTAAAACCTGAACCCAAAACCTTAAACTCTAACCCTAAACCCTGAAACCTGAACCCAAAACCTTAAACTCTAAACCCCTAAACCCTAAAACCTGAACCCAAAACCTTAGACCCTAAACCCTAAACCCTAAACCCTAAACCCTAGACCCTAGACCCTAGACCCTAAGCCTTTCCTTAAGTTTTCGGGTTTGCGGGTTCAGGGTTTGGTCAAGATCTGAGAATCGAGGACCCCAGCCGGGCGCCACCGCTGCCCAAACGCACCCTGGAGATCTCCGCGAAGGCGCTGGGGGTTTAGGGTTTAGGGTTTGGGGTTTGGGGTTTAGGGTTTAGGGTTTAGGGTTTAGGGTTTAGGGTTTAGGGAGAAGCTCCGAGCCCCGAGCCCGAAGCGAACCAAACCCTGAACTCCCCCAAAACCCAAAGCCGAGCGACCCACAGCCCTGAACCCCCTAAACCCTAAACCCCAAACCCTAAACCCTAAACCCCAAACCCCAAACCCTAAACCCTAAACCCTAAACCCTAAACCCTAAACCCTAAACCCTAAACCCTAAACCCCAAGCCCTGAATCCCTAAGCCCTTGGGCTCCCTCAGACCGCAATCTAAGGGTAGTTGCATGGTCCCTCAGTATGTGCTCTTCAATGAGGACCCCTTGTATACCCCCTACTTGGAGGTTCATGGTACTTACTAACCAGTCATAAGTGTACTTATAGCTCTACTTAGAGCCAGAATAAGGCACTTAAGGGGCTTATAAGTGGGTTAGAAGTACAGTTATAGTTGGTTAATAAGTACCATGAACCTCCAAGTAAACTACCAAACCCTCAGCCCTAAACCCTAAACTCTAAACCCGAAACTAAACCCTAAAACCTAAGCCCTAAACCCTAAAACCCTAAACCCCTAAGCCCCTAAACCCTAAACCCTAAACCCTAAACCCTAAACCCTAAACCCTAAACCCTAAACCCTAAACCTTCTTTTCGTAAGCCCCTCTATGAAGGGACCATGTAGCTGCCCGTAGATCCCCCCCCCCCCCACCCTGGGAGGTGTCCCAACCCCCCCAAACATGGAGGCCGAGGGTGCTTAGGGTTTAGGGTTTAGGGTTTAGGGTTTAGGGTTTAGGGTTTAGGGTTGAGGGTTTGGGGTTTAGGGTTTACGGTTTAGAGGGTGTAGGGTGCCTAGGGTTTCGGGTTTAGGGCTTCGGGCCGAGGGTTCTTAGGGCCAGGGGTCAAAGTTTTGCATGCTTTTGGGGGTTCCGGGGTATCCAGACCAGCCCTCCACAACTATGCCCTCTTTTCACTGTACGTGGTCCCTAAACCCTAAACCCTAAACCCTAAACCCTAAACCCTAAACCCTAAACCCTAAACCCTAAACCCTAAACCCTAAACCCTAAACCCTGAACCCTGAACCCTAAACCCTAAACCCCTTTACCCTTTACCCTTTACCCTAAACCCTAAACCCTAAACCCCAACCCTAAACCCTAAACCCTAAACATTAAACCCTAAACCCTGGTTGCCCGGGTCGCTCGTTCAAGAATGCAGGGCCGCTCACCACGCTCTCACACGCGCACGCGCACTCACATTCCTCCGTGCCCGTACCGAAAGAACTGTGCGGAAGCAGGGCGGCGGCTTGTGGAATGTCAGCACTTCGGGCAACGGGGACGGCTCAAAATTCAGAGACGGTCACTGCCGCTTCTGGAAGGGTGCCGTGCTACGATGCGTAGGGTTTGGAGTTTGAGATTCAGGCGTCAGGGCACACCCAACCCCCAAACCCAAATCAAGCCTTCAATGTACAATGTCACTACAAACCCAAAGCCCCAAGCCCTACACCCTAAACTCCTAAGCCTCGGTTTAGGGTTTTAGGGTTTAGGATTCAGGGTTTAGGGTTCAGGGTTCAGGGTTTAGGGTTTACGGGTTAGGGTTTACGGGGTTCAGGGTTCAGGGTTCAGGGTTTAGGGTTTAGGGTAGCAGGCGGCAGGAGCAGCTGCCAGCCGGGCCACAGCGAAGAAGTCGCGTCGGCAAGAGTCGGTGGCAGGACCCCGCAGGGTGGTTGGGGGATTTCGGGCTTCCAAGCCCCCAAACTACAAAAAAATCCTGCCCCCGAAGCCCTAAACCCTAAGCCCTAAACCCTAAACCCCGAAACCCTAAACCCTAAACCCTGAACCCTGAACCCTAAACCCTAAACCCTAAACCCTGCACCCTAAACCCTAAACCCTAAACCCATAAATCCTAAGCCTTCGGGGGTGGTAGGCATGGTTACAGCTTACGGGGACCGCTGCTGAGTTTGTTTGTTACAAGGGGGCCTTGGGTGTATTGACATCCTTGAATGAGGCTTTAATTGGGGCTGCTAGGGTTTAGAGGGTTTACAGGGTTTCAAGGTTTGTCAGGTTTATCTACTAATTGCTTAAGAACCCCGACAAAAACAAACACATTCTTCCTT